ATAGGTGGCGCTGTTTTCATTACAACTAGTTGTGATACAGCTATTTCCCCTTGACCGCTTCACCACTACCAACAACAACAACAATATCAACATTACGAGAAAGATGGCGAACGGAGAGCAAGGTGAAGCTACATCCCTCTACTATCTGCATGATGTTTATAGGAGCACAGCGAATGCGAAAGGGGCTATTGGCTGATTTGATAACGGAGAGAAGACGCCGTCGGGATCTCAAACATGCGCAAAGACGCAAAGTCCAGTTCCTTATCCGATTCACCGCTACATGACGCAATAGTCGAACTATCAACTGGATCGGATCGAGTTATCCAGGGGTGTTAGTCGGATCGTAGTCGGACCGCACATAGTCGGACAAAGGTGTTTACATGAAACAGATCATTCGATTTCAGTCCGACTAAGCCGGTTATTCGAATCCATGTAACCACGCTGAGTGAGAGCAAAACACTCGACTAGATCACGACTGTTTGCTGTCCTTGGTCCGAAATAATGGAAGGAGCTCTCTGAAGACACAAGGACTGCAGAGAGCCTTCACATATCACCGCTAACTAAAGACACACCTCTTCAGACTCTACCTCGACTAAAAGACAACAAATTGTAGCACTTAAATTGTAGTTATAACGCCACTTATCTATAGAAAATTGTAAATTGGCTTATTTGAGGAAATTTCACTTTCTTGTTTCTTGCTCTTCTGAGTTTGTATCTCTATGGTTGAATGCATTTATTGTAACTCGCTTTGGATAAAAGCGTCAGCTAAATGACATGTGATGTAATGTAATGTAATGCTTTAAGTCTGAGTCTGTCGACCAATCACGTTCAAGATGGCTTTGGTTGCGTTAACATGAACAGTTTGCAGCAAAATAAAAAAGACTGCAGACCCTGAAATGTGGATCACCATGAGGATTACACACAGGCACAAACAGATATTTATAATTTTCATTTTTTCTCATTTTCAGATGAAATATCCAAATAAGAGAAAATTGAGGAAAAACAAAAGAACAGAACTCGGTCGACATTGTCCGTCACCTGGTAAAACTCAGATGGATGTCGATATGTGTACTTATAAAGCAGGCTGCAGGAAAACAGCTGCACGATACGCTGTGCGTTTACTTTCTAAAAGGTTGCATAAACATTCACAAACACACACACACACACACGACACAGGCTGCGAAAACTATGGATTCTCCGTCCTTGGTGTTGTCAGAGCATTTGAGGTCAAATCGATGTTAGAGCTTTTGTGGAGTAAAGGCATCCTGGATCTATGGGGGGGTGTGTGTGTTTGTGTGTGTGTGTGTGTGTGTGTGTGTGTGTGTGTGTGTGTGGTGACACAGAGGAGTTGGGTGTATCCGCCAGAGAGGACTAGCTGCTCATTAGAAGTACATCTGCCCTCTGATCCCAGGAAATATCCATTAATCCCTTCTCACACACACACACACACACACACACACACACACACACACACACACACACACACACACACACACACACACACACACATAGACAATAAATGTATTGAAACTAATAGCTAATAACGTTGAATAAAACAGTGAATAAAATGAGACACAAGCAGAGGAAAAAAAATGTTTTCTGTCTTAATCTGTCAGAGTTATATGTCTCACAATGTCTCAAACACACACAGACGCACACGCACAAACCCCATCATTGGTAATCATCTCGCTTATTAGCCACCTAAACAAGGACAGAACCCGGTTCAAGCTGACAGCTTTTAATGAGGGAGTTACTGATCACTCACGGTTAGTATTTCCACTGCTGACAAACACTCAACTAAAAATAGATTCAACGCATCAAACACCCACGACAGACGTTCCACGGATTGTAACAACGTGTTCAATACTTATGGTTGAAGTTGCTCACTGAACCGGAGCGCAAGAAGTGTTTTCTCCAAAAGTTCCAAAAGACGGCGTTCAGGTTAACAACACGGGACACAGCCATCACACCTGATTTCTGCTTAACGTGTGAAAGGGAAAGTGGGGTTTAGCGTTAATGGCATTTGTTGGATTTTCTAGCCGAACACGGCTTACAAACGCTGTAAACGCTCATTTCCTTAAATACAACCATTGTCCTCTGAATCAAGCAGTGTTCTGTCATTCTGTCTTCTGGCCCACAGGAAGTCAACCTCATGTCCGTTACACCATTGAAGGTCTCTGATGTCCACCTGCCGCTCTTTACCAGACGTATCTGATACCTGGGCGCCGTGATCTCAGTATTTTCTCGCTTTAACGCCCCACTTGTTGCCTCTTGTTAGGGTTAGTATATAGGATAGGGAAGTAAGGGCCGTGCAGTGAGAAGGTCTGCACCTCAGCATCCATGATAATGTATATAAATATAGTATATATGTTTACATACATATAGTAATATACATTCTCCATGATGCGGCAGGAGCATCTGCATTGGAAATCTTTTTTAATAATTGAGATTCTGTATTTATCTGATGTCACCCTGAAAAATAACATAAATAAATCAAATGCACATCTTGATTTAAAAACAGTGCAAAACACCTTCCTTTTATTTAGTAGTTCTTAATTAACCGCAAGGTCTCAAAGAACCATTTAAGTTTGTCCCCTTATCTTGGCATTTTTATTAATATTTAAGCCCGAGCACCAGTGTCAGAAACCAATTACACACTCGTCTAGCACACGTCTCATATGTCATCTGTGTTCTCTCAGCCATAAACAAGTTTTAATTGTTTAACTTTCATTTTCATTTGAGTGTGACTGTGGCTTTAAATCTCTAATGTGTGGCTGTAAGCATTGTGCGCTCGGTCGCCAAAGAAAGACAATGTGTTTATTTGCGTTCTGTACTGTAGTTTCATGCAGGCGTGACCCTTTTCACAGAGAAATAACTCGTTTTTCAAGAGGACAAAAGTCACACTCTCTTCCAATGGCCTACTTCTAGTGGTTTGAATAGATGAATACGAAACAAATAGCGTGTATTCAAAAATCTTGTTTCAATGTCTGGCTCTGTGGAAATAATCAATGACAAAAGAAGTGCAGTGAAAATTAAAACAAAATGTGTTCAATTCGACTTCGGCAAAATGAAGGTCAGTATTGGCAGAGAATTTTCCGCGGACAACTGTGATGGGCATTAACTTTAGGACGAATTAAATAACACGGTTTTAAATCAAGGTGATCAAAGTCATTGACGTGCCTTAAACTCAAAATGCGACTAAACTGGAGGAAGAAGACGCGATCGGTATCGAATGCCTCAGACACAGCAGCGTTTCCATCTGAGCAGACAGGCCGTCTGCTCATACAGCGACAGAAGGTGCATGTTTGAGCCGGGCCGTTTGGTGCGTTTGTTGCCTCCAGTTCTCCGACCTTCCATCTCTGCTTCTTGGAAGAGCAGAAGAGCGGCCTTTTCCTCTTCCTCACTCATCTTCGTCGCCTAGTCCCGTGTCCCTCCATCTCTTCAGTAGTTTAACATAATCACATCACCTCAGTGTGATGGAGCACACTTACGGCTTATTATGTGTCACGCACACACACAGGAATGAGATCCACTTAAGCCTTATTACATGTCTGACTGTGCTTCTAACATGGGAGATTATCCATTGGCTGTATGCTGCAAAGCAGAGGGCACAAGCTGCAGGTAGAATGGGCGCACGCACACACACACACACACACACACACACACACACACACACACGTGGAATAGAAAAACAGGTGGACGACCGGCATATAAAATATAGGAATAAAATAGAAAAGAATAAACTAGGGCAGGAGCTGAAGGGAGTCTGGTGCCATAAAGGAGTTATGTCTTCCTGTAGCAGAACAACACACACATGTATGTGTTCACACATGCAAACACACACACACATGCGCGCACAGAGCGGGGGTGTTGTACAACGAAGACAGGGACCCAAAGAGGCCACCTCATCACTTATTTGTGGGTTTGTAAGTGTGTGTGTGTGTGTCTGTGCATAAAATGCACACACATACGATAGCAAACATCTTTTTGAACGCTTGGAGTGGGAAGAAGTTTGTGTGCGTAAACATGGCAGAGAGAAATTGTGCGCGGAGGGTGTTTATTTCACCCTTCTGTGTGAGCGGGGATGGATGTGTGTGTGTGTGTGTGTGTGTGTGTGTGTGTGTGTGTGTGTGAATTTTAACAGCAGGTAGCGCTTCTGGGAGCTGCATTCTAGCCACTTGTTAGTTTCCTCCACTGTCGCCAGATGACCTCAGGAATGTTTGTGCACAGACAGATGCAGGACTGCGGTCCTGTTAGTAATTATTTAAACTTGTCTGCATCTTTTAACTGACACAAATGTGTCAATAAAACATATCAAAGCCCATTGGCATCTGTCGTTTTAGTTGTAGTTGAATTGAAATCGCCATTGCTCGTCTTCTATACCAGTGTTCAAAGCTTTGTGTGCTGGGATGTTCTCCAAACAGTAAAAAACGATAAATCTGTCATCCGACAGCCTGAAATCCTCAGTGAGCCGATGTGGCTGGATGGGATGCTTAGCTTAGATCAGGAGTTGTCAACTCATTTTCAGCCAGGACACCAAAAATCAGTTTGTTTCTTGATATCCAGGTGCTGGTTATGCGGGAAACCGTGTGGGTCGACCTCTCAAAGCTCACCTCAGAGGCCTATTAGGTACCACCGTTCAGTTTGAGTAACCAGCATCGGCTCTAACTGAATGCGCCTGGTTTCGCTTCCCCTCCAGTCCCTCGCAGTCACCGTTTCCCTCTGACGCTTCACACTCTGTGTGCTTTCCTCTCTCTTTGGATCCTTCATGAATATTTATGAGGTTGTTATTTGCATTGGTGGCTCCTGGAAGAGGCTGAGCACACAGAGGTGACAGCCGTCAACCTCGGGAGGCGGCAGTGAGAGCGGAGACAGGAGATGAGGAGGAAAATAAATAAAATTATGGAAACGAAAACTGAAGAAAAATGGAAATTAGTCAGAGACAGAAAGACAGAACAAGCCGTCCAGATAAATCATTCTGAAAGCATTTGTGTTCCCACCTCAATGTGAACTGTTCCGTGTTGGAAAGCGTCTTCATGTAGACGCCAAACGCCACCGTCTTGCCGAGCCGAACCGGGCTTGGAGGCACCAGAACCTCCACGTTCTCATCAAGTCTCAACTTCTCTCCCTTGGCAGGTACCGGGCCCGCGGTCATTGCCACGGAACCAGCTTTCAGCATGTCATGAAGACCCCCAGCCACCAAGGGGCTCCACTGTCCCCCGAGTCCCGTCCCGGGGCCTCCGAGGGGCCCCGCGTTTGCACTCTGTCCTCTCCAAGGCTCATTGACGGCGGAGGGACACTCCTGACCAGCCTCCTCCACCGGTATGACGGAGTAATACACATCCAGTGATGGCAGAGTCACTTCGGGGGGCCTTTTCCTCACTTGGGTCGGCGTAAACCAAGCCGGGGGGATCTCCAGGCGCACAGCGCAGATGCCGGACGGCCCCACGAGCCGGCAGCCCGCCGAGGGTGCCGCTTCGCTGACGTCCCGGACGGCCACGGCTCGGACACACGGGAGGACGGCTTGAGGAGGCGGGTCCGGCTCGTCCCAGCGCCGCCCCACCAGATAAAACAGCACCTGGGGAGGAAACGAGCGCGGACGGTGATGTGGTCGAAATTGGAAACGAACAGCTCGGGCCAATAAGATAGTTGTCAAGAAAACCATCTCTTTCCGACAGTGTGGATGACAGGTGAAATTATTACTCAGAAAATGGGCCGGAAATGAAAAAGAAAACTAATTCTGTAGTAGCTGTATTTCATTAAAAAAAAAACAGAGCCCTTCTTTTTTCTCCTCGTGCAGAAATATTTCTGCATAGGCGCTAATGAGCGTCCGCTTCCAAGCAGCACTAATTAGTGTATTTACATCAGCTAAAGATCAAATTACTTAGTGAAATGTGAGAGGTGTCGCTGGCAGGGAGAAACCCACGGGGCGAGCTGCCACCCGACAGGGCGTCTCACAGGCCTTCATCTCTCGACCCTTCGCAGCTTCAACGTCTTTCATCACCAAGTCAACGGTTACATCGAGATTAAATGAATCGGCTACGCTCATAGATTAAATGCTCTCATCACTGGTCGTGCTTAATGTACAGGATTGGCATATCAAGTATATGTGCAGCCTAGAGCCTTATTTAATTGCATTAAAAGGTTTATACATATAAAAAGAAAAAATAAACTACCTGTATCCACGGCCGTGTCGAACCAACTTTGGGCACCACCACTTGACCTTTGACCCTCCAGTTCAGAGTCACCTGGTTGGTGGTCGGCAGCAGACGTGGGGAGGGACCCTGAAGCAGCTCCACCGGGATTGGCTGCTCGACGCTCAGGTTCCCGTAGCTGCAGTTGACGCCCGGCAGGGACTGCGAGGCGGCCGCTGCCGCTTCCAGCTGGTGGAGGAAGAAGGGCTCGGTCCGCGACGACAGGCTGCCATTTCGCATGACGTCCTGATTGGATTCTCGCAGAAAGAAGGCGGACTCGGCACCACTGAGCTGGCATTGCACGGGCAGGTAGGTGGGGACCGAGGAGGAGAAGCGGGACTGGGAGGAGTCCGCGCCTCCCCCTGCTCCGACGCCTGCTGCGCCCGATTGGCTTTCAGACACTGAGGAGAAAAAAAGAGGAAAAAAAAAAAAAAGATACCTTTCATTAAAAAGTAATGAAATGTCTGAGTGAATTCCAAATCAACTAATGAAGTCAAATCTGAGACCCATTGACCTGTGAAATGCATTTTTATTGCATACACATTAATATGAACAAAGATACATCTATCAGCTTTTTCACAGGTCATACATACATCACAGCGTGTACACTGCAGTACATGGTGTCTTTGCACAACGCAAAATGGGTAAAAAACACATCAGCTCTCAGTTGTCAGCTCTACATCAATGCATCGCTTTTTTAAAATCCCCATTGACTCTGCACTATATATAAAAAACGGCATATATATACATATACATAACATGCATCTTATTTCCATATTTTTACATTTAGTTTTTGTTCATTTCTGGTGTATTTATTGGACATTTCACAAAGATTGGGAGTTTGGAGCCTGGATTACCTTTTGTACAGCAGTATCTCATTTTCACAGAGGACGGGGAGTTACAACGACTGAGCTGAGTATATTTTGATCCCCACACTTTATCCTCCATCACTTAATGTTTGTTATTCATCCCCTGTTCGGCTTGTCAGCATCATATTGTGATGGCGCCACACCACCCAAATGATCGCTTATTGCAAACCTTTAGCCAAACAGGAGCCAAAATGAATTATATTTTGGTTCAGTAAATGTTAGGAAAAGTGATTTTACGGTCAGGTTTTGTAGGTTTAGTCAGCGTAACACTGACATTGTTAAACTGAATGCAGTTTAAAGCCCTTTTTAGAATCATCTTTTTTTATCATTAACACACAATTAGTTTATTTCCCCTCTGATTTTTTAATCAGTCCTTTTCTTACTGCCTGAAAGACAACGTTTTAAGGGTTTCGGCTGATTGTAAATCGGACATCTTTTCTTTTTTACTTTGACTGTTGCTTATTTAGTGTTTAAGAAGACTTGAAGACTATTTAAAGGGCCTTTAATTGCAACTGCCTCTGTTTTCAAATTTCACACGTTATTCCTCTAGACCGGGCACCAGGCTTTCCACTGACTTTACCCAAAGCCCGTCACTAATAGATGCTCAGAACAACGGAGGTAACCTTAAAAGCGAGACGTCTTCTGTGGGTGAGAGAGAAGGTCGGTGCACGAGTCAAAACGAACAAAGGATTTTTACGATGGGAAGTAGCGCTCGTGCACCAAACCAAAAATTGTGTTATTAATTACATTATGTCTCGGGACACTATGCACCTGAGTCAGACTGCGTGGACTGACGTGCATTCTGACAAAAAACCTTTGGTATTTAGGGACACACATAAGGGACGGAGTAGTTCTACAATCTGGGAGTCACTAATCGTTTTTAACAGGTTACCACAACATTACATTAGATTACATTTACATTAACACTGTAATGTAATGTAATGTAACATTTCTACATTTAAAGTGAAGTGCGTTACTTTAGAAATAGCATTTATAAAACATGGCTAAATTAAATGGCTACTGCCACAGAATTGTTTTTTTAAAGTGCTGTTCACGGTAGAAGAATAGGATTTCCATTTGAACACACCACGGAACCAGCGCTGGCACAAACAAAACACACATGCAGTGAGAGTGAGTGTGCGTTTCCATGTGTCCTAGGGTAGCCAAGTGTGAAAATATAATGAGGGTGGGACCGCGTGGCGCCGTCTCGGGCAAGTTATACAGAGGCGACTTCAGAAAAAACATAGCGCCGAAATAAAGCGATACCTCAGTGCAACATGAATGAGCAGGCTGATTCGGTTACGGCGCGTGGGCACCATACAAACAAATAAAAAATAAAAAAGGTTTAGGGTTAGACAGAAAGAAGAAAAAAAAGGGAGAGAGTTAAATAGACAGACGGGGCGGGAGATAGAAAAAGAAACACAAAGCGGAGAGGAGCATGAAGTGCAACGTATTAAGATGGAGGAGGAGGAGAAACTAAATGGAGTGAGATGAAAAAAGAGGTTGAAGACGGAGGAAAGGGGGGAAGGGGATGGGGGGGCACAGAGTACATAGAGAGAGTGACAGAGATACTGGCAGTTTACACAGGATGACTGAATGAACTTCACCACCAATCAACTTCTCTGCAGGGGAATCTTTGCCACTCAGAGACGAATATGTCGCCCTGAACCAACATCGTGTACTGAACAATGTAAACTACGTTGTAGGAAAGTTGAGATGGATTCTGGCAAAAGCGAACGAAAAAGGAACTTTAACAAACCAGATTTAGCCACATTTCTTTCACGTTGACCGTGGGGTAAAATATACAGCTTAAATGGCTTCTTACATACTTTAAATTGATAAGCATCCATATAAAAAGTTACAAAATAATCCAGCAGGAGTAGTCGCCGACTATGCTTCATGTTTTTGTCTGCAAGGTGACATCCTCTTCATGTTTTGGAGCTTATCGTCCATATTTAGCAATTCAGAGTCACATGCAAAAAGGGCTCGTTGAAACGGAGCCACAGAGACTTTTCAAATTCAGATGGTAATTATTCAATGTGGGCAAAATACATGAAAACATTAGCCTCAGTAAGCCATGTTAGCTTTTAACATAGTCCCATTGTGGGTGTCCTTGAGGCCTGCATGTGTGTCTGTGTGTGTCCACGGGAGTCTCACGAAGCATATGTCTCGAACCCGGACAGCTGACACACACAGACAGGCAACACTCACGCTCATGCAAATCTTTCCATGCAGACGCAAGTTGACCTTTGGGTGGAATTGCTTACATTGTATGGAATATTAAAAGACAAAACTCTCCCCTTAATCTCAGGTCGTAGTTTTTTAAATATTTATTATGATGATTTTCAAACAAATGTGAAATGTTTTCTTTACCCTTTTATACTTTTGCCTCTTTGTTATGTTAATGTGGAAAAATAAGCCTACGCTGTGGCTCAAAAAGTGTGTGTTTTTTTTCCTGACATCATTATTGTGTGGATAATAAAAATACAAGATGACATCAGCCCAATAGGCTCTCTGGAAACTGGCATCCAAGAACCAGTGTGCAATTGGCCACCATTGAACTTGGCACGGTCCAGATTACCTGGCATCATGACTTTGGCAATCGCCAACCACAGCAGGAGTCCCAACCCGCTGTGTCCTGCTGCACAGTGCTTCAGTGTGTGCGCGCGTGTGTGTGTGTGTGTGTGTGTGTAAAAGTATCTCTAAGTGTTTGTGAGGATTGTTGTAGTGGTGCATGCAAGGTTCAACAAAGGCGTAAATGTGGATACAGGGTATGGAGGGTATGAAAAATTGGAAAGGCACAAAGCCAGATGTAGAGAGATTTGACAAGGCCCATCTGTGATCCTTCATCACCTAAAAAAAATGCCTATCCTGCTTTATTTCCAGGTGCACGCGCACACACACGCACACACACACACACACACACACACACACACACACGCACACACACACACGCACACACACAAAGCCAATAATCAAAAGACATTGGAGCGTGTAGGGCAGGAAGAAAAAGAGAGATGGGTTTCCAGTGAAAAGGAGGGATACCACGATGTGATTACGGTATCCGTTCAGCCTGATATTGTGTTGGTTATATATTGACATTGACTTTTATTTCATTAGACAGGCAACACATTCATATTTGAACAGGGCTTTGTTTCACAAAAGAATCTTTTGGGTAGGACCAGCTGAATGCTGCACCAACATTGCTTGTTGGACCGATAAAACCCAAACATGAAACTTTTGGTTTTACGTTAAGTAATAAGTGGTTACGTGTGTTGCCGTGGTGCAGGGTTGCAATTCAATGCAGAAGCAAGTGTCAAAATGCTGTTTTTATCAATTTTTCTTCCATATATGGGAACCGTGTACAAACTACTTCTTTCTCCGCTCTCTGCTTCCCTCCATCTGTTCCCTCCTCATTGCCAGTCACACTATTTGTCTTGCTTCTGCTGAGGTTGTTTTGCACACTTGAACAAAAAGCCATTCCTTGTAAATTCGCCATTCCGAGCACGCGGTATGAAGCCAAATATTTCCACGTCTGCTTTCCCGCGAAACAACAACAAGATGTCCAGTAATGACAAGCGTTTCAGCATCAAAACATCAGTTTGCTTGTGCTTCATTCAAAGCATTCATCCAGAAGTAAATTGCCCCCCTTCTCGGTCCTCCCCCCATTCCACCACCACATGGTGAAAAATAAAAAGACTCAGAGCAGAAATCCATCATGGGAGAATTTCCCCGAAAAGAATTAACGCCATTGATCACAAAGATGGCCTACTATCTGAAAGAGACGTGGGGGGGGGGGGGCATACCGATGGATAGATATATAGACATGGATGGTGTGAAATGTGGAGGGAAGGAAGGAGCGAGAGGTAATATGGTGAAAGAGGATGAGAGAGGGATGAGCTTTCTATTTTTGAGCTGAACATTCATCACAAGCAGGAGTTTATTTTGGTCTCTCTATCTCTATTTATCTACGTCTGTCTCTGCGTGTCCCACCCGGCAAAATCTCTCCGTAATGGTGCACGTTTTTTTAATTATTAAAGGGGAACTCCAATGATTTCCCACGAGGATGTCACGGTATTCTCAGGGAGCGCTTTGTTACGTTGTTCAAAATAAACACAAAGTTGTGAGGACTCTTCGGCTCGGTTCTCACCGCCGGTCGAAGGACAGTCGCATCAGTTTGCACTGAAATGACAGTCGGCCGTGAGCTTTGTTTCGACATTAACAATGCGAATGAACGCGAGCTTCGTTTATATAACGGCTCCTTTGGCTCCATTTGGAAATGTGTCATTTGGAGGCACTGTAATAAAAAACTACTCAGCCAACACAATGTGGTACGTTTCAAAACATTTAGTTAAATATCATAATGCTAATGCTAATGTCCTGAGAGCTTTCTGGACATTATGAAGCCCAGTTCAAGGCGCCTGCTTGTGTGGTGCGTTGTCATGGTAAAAAAACGGCCCCAGATTAAAAAAACTACCGTTACCGTTAGAAACAGCAGATTTGTGCGCTTTTTAAGCAGCGTGGTACAACAT